GCAATTTTATTAAAAAATATATTAATTAATGTATTTAATAAATTTTAGTACGTGTTGCTCATTTTCTACATATACAAAATCGTCGAACATATTTCATATGGAAAAAAATGACTGACAGCGTCAACAAAAAAATGGTTAAAAATCAATAGCAAGCCCAAGCTACTTCAAACTTGCTCTTTATGACACTGTCATTTAATGGGCTACACAACTGATTTCGTAATTTTTACGAAAGTTTGGGTATTTGTTTTTAATATTGCACAAAGTTTGAAGCTCGGTTTTGGTTAAAGAATAAAGTATACTTTTATAACAAGTATTTTTTAGCAAAAAAAAACCGACTTCAACTTTCATATAAAAAAAAAATATATATTTATATATATCTCATGATCCACTGATCGGATCTTAACCAGATTAGTATGGGACCACCTCTGAGACACTACCTTTCCGATGCAAAAAGAATTATCGAAATCGGTTGTTATGCGGTAACATTCATAAAGAAAAACAAAAAAAAGAAAAAAAAATACAAAAATTTTCCGACGAACTCCTTTTTTGGAAGTCGGTTAAAAAATAATAACTAAAATCAAGAAGCGATAAAATAAATAGTCAAAATTTGTCAATATGTGGGTGTCGTCTAGTTATTATAAGCACTGTATGTGTAAATATATGTAAGATAACGTCGATGCTTGGTGCAAAAGAAATAACTTAAGATTAAATATAAGCAATTGTTTTCATGTCTCTTATTCTAAACCTCTTTATTCCATTCCACCTCCTATCACATTGATGGTTATAGGTTGTCCAATCCGAGTGAAATTATTGATCTTGGGATGATATTTGACTCTAGATTCTCCTTTCTAAGTCATTTAAACTACACTATTGCAAAGTCATATACTGTACTTGCTTTCATTCGACGTTTCAGCTCAGTCTTTACTGATCCCTATACTCTTAAGTTTTTATGTACTTCCCTTCTGCGTTCTAAGTTAGAATACGCTGCTTTTATATGGAGACCATATTATGCATGTCCATATTAGTAGGCTTGAGCGAGTACAAAAAGCCTTTATCCGCTATGCCTGGTCTGGCCCAAGGCCAATAGGAGGAATCAGTTGCATACAGTACAACGCTCAATAACAAAAATTAGGGCTTGGTACTCGGTAATTCGGTGCTCGGAAATGCCATCTTTCCACAGGAAAACACCAATGTCGTGATAACCATGTCATATAATATATTTCCAATGGATACCGCCTATTTCTCGTGGGTTGCAATATATGTCAGCGCTTATTGTTTGACATCTATTGCAGGAAATTTGATAGTTCGGCAGCCATATTTTCACTCGAAAGAAAGCGTGCTGGTGGTAACATCGATGAAATATTAATATTAAATCAAAATATGAATCTGTTCCCTATTGGATTATTTATGATAACGTTTTAGGAAGTTTTCAGCAAGTTTTTTTTTATAAATTAAATGTTTTTAAACACCGAAATTGACTTGAATTGAATGTTGGCTGGCGGCGTCATGCGGCAAATGCAATACAAATTGCAAGGTGTAACTGCAACTCGCAAATCGCTTTCGGGAAATAATTTCGACTTGCTCGTGCAATAAATGTTAATGTTTGGAAAATGGTTTTTCATAAAAATTGTTGGTTTTATTCCATATTGATGCTTTGATACTTAAATGAAAAAAGTGATACATGTTGATACATTTTAAGTCTCTTTTCTGGTAAAATTTTTCACAAGTCCGCGGTCACACTGGTAGGAATTTAACCAGGTGCAACATACAAAGTGGCTGAATGACCATGGAATGGCTTTCGACGTGGACAGTAGATGGCCCGGCTTGAAGGAAATACTTGCAGTTGTGGTCCTCACGGTATCATCCTAACAAGAACTTTCGGCTGCGTAAGCCTTTATACCTACTCCCTAAAATAAAGTTTAGTCTACCTACTAATTAGACCCGATGAGCACAAACGCGCGGCTAATTTTATCGGTCGATAAGTTGCCTAGTTAGAACTCGATATTCAGGAGAGAGCTTTAATCGGTTTTGGAAAACGTTGAACAAGCATGACTTATTCGTAGGGATGCAAACGATATATCGATATTAGCTATATTGATGAGTTTTTAGTCGATATTGATATTTCTATCGCGATGTTTTTGAAAACCGATATATCGACATCGACGATATTATTATTTTTCAATACTACGATATTTTTGTTTCCTATAAACGCTTTCCTGATAATTTGTTAATAACAAAATCGAATACGTACTATACATAGCGTTGTTAGTGATTACATGCAAAAAGGATTCACTCAACTCAACAGTTATTACCCATATGGCATCTTTGTTACGACACATCAATGAATGAAGTCTTTAAGTGGAACACACTGTTATAATAAGTTCCTACATTTTTAGCGCTTAAAAAGAATTAGCAACTGAAGATGTGACTATTTGTGATGTATTAAAGTTTACGTTTTTTGTTTCCTTTAAGTACTTTTTATCTACGCAATAATCAAACTCGTTTTTTGTTTGAATTATTTTATTTTAACATTTAAAGAATTGAGAGTGAAACTTCGAAGGAATATCGTCACTAGACACGAATAAAGGCGCGCTAGTGTTTCGACGGCGAAAAAAGACGCGTCTTTCTTCGCCGTCAACTATGTTAAGAGTCTTTCTTCGCTGAAGTTTTTTTATGCGCCTTTTTTCGCGGTCAACTCGCGCCTTAAGGTGACAAGGTATCAAGTCCATTTTTTTTTTAAGTTGTTCAGGAGAGACAAAAAATCGATGTAGTTTCGCATTACCTGTCAGTCTGCATCAAAAACTTAGTTTTGTAAAAAGTGGACTTGGCACCTTTTCACCTTTAGATAGCGATATGTATGCACAATATATTTGTACATACCAATTTACGTACATTTATGTGCATGAAAAAGTCCTAAAAAAATCTTAAATCCATATTCAATATCTATATGGTATCAGTATTTTTCGGTTGATATATCGATCAGCCGATATTTTTTTGGTTAATATCGATATCACCAATATCGATGATTTTATGAGCGATATTGCATCCCTACTTATTCGACTTCAAGTAATTTTTGGTTCTATTAGTCTTTTTAGAACTGACTTCAAACTATTACTGCGAGCCTTTAAGGTAAACTAGAAAAACGCATTTTCGGAAATTTTCATAGCAAAAATAAATTTTTAGTGCAGAAAATGCTTAACTTAAGACTCTTTAAAATTCCATTTTTTCATACTAAAATTAATTGAGCTATAAACTTGCATACTAGAACTTCATTTAATTCTGATTTAAAAGCTTGAAATTTTTTGCTTTACCTTGCCAGCCAAATAATCGACAGTATGTATGTACATATGTAAATAAAAAACTTTACTTTTACTCTGTGGAGAAATTATTTTTTTTATTGAATTAAAACCAAACTAAAAAAGCTAAAATCGTCGACGAGTATTCTTTGAACTGGGTGGAAAGTTTACTTTCCGCCGCCGCCACCGCCACCACCACCGCCGCCGAGTTCAAGCTCAAGACCGCCACCGCCGCCGCCACCGCCGCCACCACCGGGCAATGGTTCAGGATTGGGGTTGGGCATTGGGTTGGGGTTGGCTGAAAATATACAAAAAATCCATTATTCAAGTTATTAAAACGTGTGCGTTGTTTTAAGTACACCTACATATATTATAGTCCTACAAATGCGTAGCACATCCTTCAATACTCACCGAAAGCCAAAGCCAAAATGGCCAATACGAAACCGAAGAAAAGTGTGAACTTCATGTTGCAAATGTTGCGAATGCAATGAATTCTATCTCAAATGCTTCTGCTTTTATACAGAATCTTATCGCATTGCAACGCATTAAGCAGCCATGAAAATCCACTGGGTTAGTTATGTAACAGATAATGCCTGCTTGGTAGCGACCGGCTTTACTGTGGTCATTAGAAGGCGCAGCACGAGATTTTCTAATCGATCAAAAGAGATGGACGACATACATATGCGACTTTTCAATTCGTAGAAATTTTAACAGGTTTCTCAGTGTGAAAAACAATAGCGACGTGTTGCGGCGTCTGCTCTGCTCAATCCACCCCACTGCTGACAGGTTCTACTCAATGCGCAATATCAAACCATCACCTTTAACATGAATAAAATGACACATCTTATTACTTATTTATTTAAAAGCCGTTTAGTTAAGGTAAACAAATAAACAATTTTTTTAAGAACATTTCGCTTCTTATAATGGCACATGTGTTCAAAGAAAAGAATACTGTAGTAAAAATGCCAAATATAAACTGTAATCCCTGCAGGGAAACCGCGAACTAGGGAATCAAATCGCAAGTTCCGTATTAGATCTTTTTCGCCACAAAAAAAACAATCTGATAGTAACTAGATCCACACCAGTTAAAAATCAACGAAACATGGTACTTTTAAAAAACTATTTTATATCACTTTTTTCATTAGAAATCTGTATCTAAGGTGACGAATTTAGAGCTGTTCTTTTGTAGCTCGGTTGCAAAAGAATGGACCTATTATAGTTGTTCGTCGGAATATTTTTTTGTGTGTGTTACCGATTTCAGTGTGTTCTTCGATTTCATTTTAATTTGGTTTAAGGACCTTATTCTGTATCACGAACGATACGCAAAACGAACGATTCGTCTGCAGACGACAACCTCTCTGATTGCGATTTTAAACTCTATCGGTCGTCTTCCTCTTGCTTTTCATACATTACGTTGCAATGGTCTCGGTAGCGTTCAAACAGGTTTAAATCATGCCGCCGGACTAATTTTTGAATCATTCCTCTGCAGACGAATCGTTCGTGTTGCCTATCGTTCGTGATACAGAATAAGGCTGTAAATCTGATGATTGGATCATGAAGAAATTAACGACGATCTTAAATTTTTATACGAGAATTGAAGTCGGTTTTGGTTTTAGCTTGTTGTTACTTTTCATCGTTTACTAATAAAAACACAATAATGGTATTTATCTAAACCGATAACTTTATCAAGCAGATAATCTTATAAGTTTACGCAATCTGTTACATGAACGACCCACACTCTCTTTTCGTTTACACTTGCGACAATAGTCGTGTTTTCTTTGGTTATCGAGCTCAGTATCACTAACTTTATATTACTAGCACGAGGATAAAGAAATTATAGAAACTAACTCATTAAATGGGAAAAAATTATATTTACGAGATAATATCTATTTAAATAAATGCACATATAACATAAAGGCGATTTATTTGAAGCAATTTAAAAGAAACAATGACAGAATATCTGTTTGTGTATGAATTCATTTGTCACTGCTACCAAACTGTGCGGCCAAATTATCAGTGAAACAAAACAAACAGAATGGATAATAATTTAACCAGATCTCTGTCAGGATCATATCGTTGTTGTTGAATTTGCGAGCAAAAGTTGTATGCGGATCCTGATTATTGCCCAAGAAAACATAGCTAGAGTTGCGGCAGAGTTGCATTGGCTTCAGTTTATCAAGTTTATTCACTGAAATCACTGGAGAAATTTATCAGAAATGTGAAAACGAGTTTCCATACAAATTTTGACAGTTCATTTACAAGGTTTACATAATTATTAGTTTATACGGTTTACAATGCATTTATAAGGTTTGATGAATACCCTTTATGAAAAATTTAACTATGTTTTTTTTTTGAAATCTTGGTTCTCTCATCTGTCATGAACATGTATAGGTGCATCGCATCCTCAAAAGTCGGTAAATTATTCCAATAACAGTTTACCAAATACGCGCGAAGTCCCGCGCAACCGAGTCCAGCTAGTAGGTAATTATATATAGAGGAGTTCTTTTTCTTGTAACAGGTAATCTTGCGAACGGAAGGTCCGATTTTCGTGAAGTTTTGTATATATGAAAATAGCTTTCAACAACCACCATGTCAAGAGTAGGGGGACCAAGGCCCGATTTATTCGAAAAAATCTTATTTATGGTCCGAATTGCTTGAAATTTGGTACGTAGGTAGCTTTTTGCCTAGATTAGCATATAGAATCCATTTTTCCGGAAGTCCTATCCTTTATAATAGTTGATTTCGCGATCGCCTGTACCGATTTTTTTTAATTTTGGTAACTTTTTGGTTATAGGCTGATAATAATTTCGATATATCAAGAAAGCCTTTACATCTCCCATACAAATAGAATTTTTCATACCGCATATCTCTGGAAGTATTTGTGGTAGAGTCCTGGAACTTGGTGTGGAGATTTTGAAGCCAATCCCATACTCATGGAGAAAACTGGGGGCTATAGCAAAAAGGGCGTGTGGCGCCTTTCAGACATACTAGAAATTTTACCTATCTGCAAATACATACATACATATATAGTTATTCGGCACGTGTGTTTGTGAGTGAACTCCTCCTAGATGACCGAAATGATTTTAATGAATTTCTTTTATGCGGTTTAGTGGATCCCTGTATATTTAGTTCAGGTTCTCAACTGAAAATACCAGCTGGCGCTGGAGTCGCGTTTTTTCTAACAGTCGTATTTATGATCTAAACTGTCTAAGATTCAAAATATGTATTGGTAACGTGAAGCGAAAAAATTGCTCGGTAGGGGCAATACTATTGCAAAAAGAGCCGCAAGGTGGGGCTGGAGTCGAGTTATTGTTAAAAGTCATCAAGTGAAGTCATTCGGAGACACCAGGGATACAAATTACTACCGTTAAATCTACCACCATAACCATTGAGATCCTTGCTTTACGGCGACTAAACAGAATAAAGACAACTAGTGAACCCGCATGGCGTTAAAACGCCCAAAACTTAATTTCAAAACTTAAAACATATTCCAAATGTTACTCAGAGTTATAAGAGATCCGAGTGCCAGTGAATAGCAGTCTGGCATTAATTTGACCTCTCATTTTTGAAATTCCCTTTCAAAGGTATTCCCAAATTAAAACCTTCTTAAATCTATTTCGTCTGACATTGTGAAACACATGTATTTCAATAAACTGAAGAACTAATTTGAATTTAATTGTTCGAACAAATGGCAACCCTCCTTAATAAATTAATAATTTGAATATATTTTTAAACACGTAGCAACCCTCTTCAAACATTCCAAAAGGTCAAACTAAAGATTTCTTAAAATTCTTTTTGTTTAACTACGATATTTTTATATTTCAAATACTTTTTGTATTAGTTAATTGAGTTACACCTTTCAAATAGGTGAAAGCCCTCTTCAAAAGTATTTTCAAGCTTAATCCTTGTTAACTCTCCTTCGCCTGACATTGCAATACATATTTTAATTAACTGACGAATTAAGTGGAATTTGATTTTTTAAACATGTGGCAACCCCGCTAAGTACAGCTCAGAAATAAAAGTTTTTCTAACCCCCTTCGACTAATAGCACTGGTCTACAAATTTCAACTTTTTTTCTGCGAATAAGACGGGACCTGGTGTTTCTGAACGGATTTTTCGTGCTGAACACGAATCCGGGGTCAAAAATGTCCCATCACGTCACGTTTTCGAGCAAAAAGGGGTTGAAACCCCTAAAAACAGCGTTTTTGGCCATTTTCGAAAAATTATAGAGCTGAACCCTGACGTGGTACAAATTTTGCATATATCAGAAATTAAAGGCTAAACCGTGCCCTTTCGAATGAGCCCTATGCCGAATTGATCGCGTGCACCCTTAAAGCAGGGGGTGTATTTGTGTTTAGGGGTGCAGGAAAAATTGATCACAGAAAGAATTTAATCTTAAACGATCATAGAAAATTAATAATGCCAAGGTTTTAACTATATTAAAAGTCGCTGATTACGAATCTGCAGTTAGATTTTAAAAATTTAAGATGACGGGTCGAATATGGTGGATATAAAAATTGGACTCCTAGACACAAATACACCCCCTGATCTAAGGGTGCATGCGATTAATTCGGCATAGGGCTCATTCGAAAGGGCACGATTTAGCCTTTAATTTCTGACATATACAAAGTTTGTAGCACGTCAGGGTTCAGCTCTACAATTTTTCAAAAATGGCCAAAAACGCTGTTTTTAGGGGTTTCAACCCCTTTTTTCTCGAAAACGTGACGTGATGGGAAGTTTTGGACCCCAGATTCGTGTTCAGCACGAAAAATCCGTTCGGAAACACCAGGTCCCGTCTTATTCGCAAAACCCTTGTAGACCAGTGTAGTTATTAAATAATTTGAATTTAAATTTTTAAACATGTTGCAACCCCGCTAAGTACAAAAATATTCTGGCGTTCAACCAAATATTTCTTAACACTCCTTCGTTTGACATCCACATTTTGATGTTTCATATAACTTGTGTAGAAGTAAACTAATACCTCGTTTATACCAACACAAAAAGTGCTTTGACCCAGTTCGCTGTGATTCAAAACGGAAGCATAAACCAACTTTCAGTACGCTCAGAAATTCAAAAGTGTATTGATTCAAAAAATCGCTTTTTCATTTCTCATATCGGTTAGAAAACAGAAACACACTCATATGACCCGAAGTGAAAATGGGCTGGTTTTCTTTATACAGCCCGTTTTAAATTTGAATTATTATTATAACAAATTTGAATTCCTGTTCTCTTCCATTTCGGTCCACCGCGCCAATTAATTATTTAAAAAATAACGAATAAAAATAATAAATTTTGTTTACTTTTGAATACGGTTTCAGCAAGTGCGCTATAACAACACAGGTATAAATGCTTGAGCGAAATATGTGTTGCGTAAAATCATATTTTTGTTAATGCGGTTCTTGCGTAAGTATAAACAAGGTATGTATAAATTAGACATTTGAAAATGTTTTCAAATTACTACTTTCTGAAACCCCTTTCGTTTGGTACCCATATGGTGATACATATTTTTCTTACCTCCTA